TTGTACAGTAGTTCTATTTTTAATTTTTGGAGGAAATGCCATACTGTTTTCCTTACTGGCTGCACCAATTTACAACAGTTCACGAGGGTCCCCCTTGCTCCACATCCTCACCAACACATGTTGTTCGTTGATTTATTGATGACAGCCATTCTGACAGGTGTGAGGTGATACCTCATTGTGGTTTTGATTTGCATTACCCTGATGATTAGTGATAGTGAACACCTTTTCACACGCCTATTGGCCATCTGTGTGTCCTCTTGGAAGAAATATCTGTTCAGGTCCTCTACCCATTTCTTAATTGAGTCTTTGTTTGTTTTTGGCTATTGACTTGTAAAAGTCCCTTATATATTATATATTAACTCCTTATCAGGTATATATTGCAAATATCATCTATCAGTTTTCTCCCATTTAGGTTGCCTTCATTTTGTTGATAGTATGCTTTATTATTTTTAAAACCATGGTTAATATATTGTGAAACAGTGATCTGGAGGTCTGGTTCTAAGCTTACTTCTTATTCTACCTTCTTTTTCTTCATAGCACTTATCACCATCAGCAAGGATTTTGTTTTGTTCACTATGCCGGCCCCAGTATATAGACTAGTGTTTGGCCCACAATGTGTACTTAATACTTATTTTTAAAAATTAATTATTTTTGAATACGGTACCATATAATGGTGTGTTCTTCCACATCCCTCCCCTACTCCATGTTCAATTACCTCACATAGGTAGCTTGAAATCAGCCAACATGTGACTCTTCACACCACAGGAATTGACAAAGCTATAAATCAGGGCTTGATTTGTTATTTGGTTTTTTCCTTATTCTCTAGAACTATGCCAGTGATAGACAAAATGTTAATATTGGATTAAACTTAAAAGTACGTTGTGTCTGTTATTGTTATATAACAAATAACACAAAAATATTGAATAAATAATCTTCCAGTATTAAGAAAAACGATTACCACATTCGGCAAAGTCACTCATCTCACTGGAAAATGAGTGAGGTTCCAACAACATGTCTTCATGGTTTCATTTTCATCTTACTTGTTACTGTAAAGGAAAACATCCGCCAACGTTCTTACCAGGACTGAGAGAGCCGGTGATGGAACAGTGACCAGCACACCGCCGCCCCAGCCCACGTGAGCCTGCTAATCCAGTCCCAGCTGGCTCCCCTCCTACCACTGTCTGCAGCACCCAGGGGCTAGTCACATCGATCTTTGCTGAGTCCCTCAGAACGCCCAGCTTCCTGCCTCGGGTCTTTAACACTTGTCTTTCTGTTCCGTGAGAGAATGTTCTCCAAGTGTTCTACAGTGACTACTTCTTCCCAGTCCCTGTTCTCCTTATCCTGTTGTATTGGCTTCATTGTACTTTCTACTGCCTAAAATATTTAGTAATTTACTTGCTGAATGGCTGCATCCTGTCCCTGTAACTGGAAGTTCACTAGAGCAGTGACCTGTCCGCCTGTTTCCAGCACACCCATTGCTTTCGGTCTGGTGCCCCGCCCATGGCAGGGACTCAGCAACTGCTGGCTGACCAAAGTCTATTTAATTAGAAACTACCATGTCAGATAGTGATCTCAGCCTTATCACTACCACTGTTCCTTCGGTGTGATAGGGGACTCAAGACTTGGAAAATTTTAGCTTAAGGTAAATAGCCATAAATCTAGCAGGTAATGTGTATGTTAAGCTTTTGTTTCACAAACTACAGATAAGGCCCATCCTGGCATCTGGGAAAAGCAGCCGACCTCCTGGGGCACTGGCTAGAGATTACTGCCTGGAAACATCCGTACCAGGAAGAAGCAGGCGACTACCCCTCCCCCTTTGAGATAGCTAACTGCCCAGGATAGGAATGTTGCAGCTGCTAAATCTCAAAGCCCTCACTGCACACTGTTTGTCCTTCCCCACCCCCTTATAAAAAGATCTGGCCAGGAAAAAAAGGGGAAGATGGCTTTGTTAGGGTATGAACCCACCATTTTCTCAGATCGCCGGCCATCTGAATAAAGCGCCCACAAAAGATTCAATCGCTGTCATTGCTTATTGGATTTGGTAGTGACAGGCAGCCTGAACACTGGTGTCTTTTCCGGTTACAGGTATAGCCAATGTGGGGGGATCTTTTCTGGAGACAAGACTGCGGCAGGAGCTCTGAGAAAGTGCAAGTGGGGAAGAAATCTCCACTGACAGAACTTCGGCCACAGCCCTGGGCACTGCTACCCAGGGCACGCCTTCTCTCTCTGCTCCTTCCTGCTCCTGCCTTCTCTTGTGTTCTCAGAGACTCCAACACTTGAGAGAAGAGTCTATATACGATGGTCTCAAAAAGAACAGAGAGGCTAAGATAAAACCTGTGAGGCTGTGAGGCTTAGGCAGCAGGGAGGAAGATGGTGGGGCAGGAGGTGGATGGTGAAATCAGGTTTTACAAAGTAAAATGGTTACACTGGGCATTAGCCAGGCACCGACACAAAGATGACTAAAATATGCGCTGATACTAAGTAGGTCCATGTGGAAACGCTTCTCTTCCAAAAGGAAAGACAAATTAATCTGGTGATCTTTAAAACACTCACAGAACTTGATACCTTTAGCCTCTACTCAGTTTCACACCTGGCATCAAACACCACAGAGACTCTGGCCCCTCACGGTGGCTGTGGTGTTCATCTCGCGTTCAGATCACGGTAGAGATGGGGTGACTCCAGTGTGCTTGTGTCTGCGCAGCACAGTACCAGTTTGCTTCTGGTTGAATCCTAAGGATAAATGTACTACGGCTCAGGATCTCCCTGGACTATGACTCCTTAGACCATCTGATGCATTATGGATGAAATGAGACATTCACATGGACTACCGAGTCCGGTGGAGGAAAAGGACAGCATGGCTTTTCTCTCAAGGGGAGCAAGGGGGCCTCTGCTATAACAGGCCTTTATTTCTATCTCTGGGCACCTTACAAGACAGTCCTCATTTACTAGGCACAGGTTCGCTTTAGGTGGTTACCTTTTATGGAAAACAAAGGAGCCAATGCTGCTAATCAAATCACAGAAGAGGGATATTTGCAAATAAAAAGGCAAAAATGGTTGATCGGGTTACACTCATCCTTAGAAGGTTTAGCGTGGATTTTAGGAAGTTGCTTTGCAGTAAATGTCCTCAGTTCAGGGTGAGGGAGTTTTTTAGCAAAAAGCAAGGCTCATAGCGGCCTAAGTACATTGCAGGCCTGATCCCCCACAGGAGAACCTATCCATGGGCATGGGTCCTGTGCATCTCCAAGTGGGAGCTAGGCTCAAGCCACACAGAACGGTCTCCTACACCATCCACACAGAAGGAATATCCCTGCCCCAGGAGAGTATTTCCGTTATTATATGGCCACGTCCCAAAATCAGATCCATCCGAGGAAGACGGAGCAGGAACGCTGAAGTGACATCAGTCACGGCACCATCTACTCTGCGTTGTCCTGAGTTGAGGGGCTTTATTGCTCATAGCATTCCTGATGGCTCACAGCACGTGTCAAGTCTCTCCGCACTAGGAAGGGCGCTGAGCACGTATCACGTGTCACCTCACTGAATCCCGACAATAACCCTGAGAGGGACGTTCTATCGTTATCCCCACTTTACAGTTGAGGAGAGTGAGACCCAGAGGGATTTAGTCGTTTTGAGTTACGTGGTTGATCCTAAGTCAGGATTCAAATCTGAACAGTTTGGCTCCAGAATCTATGCATTTAGCCACTCCACAAAACCATTCAACCCTGCGAATATCCTTGTTTTACAGATGAGGAAACTGAGGCTCGGATGCCTTAAGAAACACAGCTAGCAAGAGGCAGAGTCAACATTTGATCCCAATCAGCTTGACTTCACAACCTCTTCGCCACCAGCCAGCTGGGAGTTCAACCACACAGGAGAGGTTAGGCAGCGAGCTCAGAGCCAGGGGCAAGAGGGAAGCCATTGATAGTTCACAAACAGACCCACCCTGAGGAGTGCTGATTCATTCTGCCTTTGTTTCTTTATAGTATAACATCTCAGAGTACAGGCTATATGTTTGTGAATTTGCCAATTTCACTTTCTGTAAGTTATTGAACCTATTCAAGTCTCTCCTTGATTCTAAAACAGAGGTAAGAATAGTGTTTTCATGGGGACTGAACCACTTAACACAGAATCTGGCACAGAGTCAGGGATGACTAAATGAATCTTAGAGATTAGCATCTTAGGTAGTTGCCAAAAAAGACTCTGACCAACACTTGCAAATAAACTAATCTTGCATCTCTATATAAATATCCCTTTACAAGATGTCAAAGCAAATCTCACGTTAAAATTTGCATAGGGAATTTCATTTCTGATAGGTTAATATCTCCTTAGGCAAAAACATCATGAGCCCTGGCTGGATGGCTCAGCTGGTTGGAGCACTGGGCCATATACCAGAAGGTTGTGGGGTCGATTTCCCCTCTCAGGGTTCGAACGGGAGGCAACCGATTGATGTCTCTCTCCCTCTCTCTCCACCCTATCTCTCTAAAAAAATAAATAAATCAATAAACATATCCTTGTGTGAGGAGTAAAAAAATCATGAGACATTTTGCAGTTCACTCAAAATGTAAATATCTGTAAGACAAATCTATAAAAAAAATACAAGAAAGCAGAACTAGAAATATTTACCAAAGAACCACACATCATAAAAATTAAAACTATACCTGTAACATCTTAGTCACCAAAATTAATCAAATCAGGGTCTTGTAGTATTGCAGTGTTTTTTTAAAGACCTAACTTCTATATTTTAAAAGAAATAATGGAATTTCATAACTAAAGTTTTATTTCCATCCCTTCCCATTTGATAGCCCCAAAACTGTAATGTCAACAACACCCTTAAAACCTTGAGCAATACGGAAAAGCTGTAATTACCTGATAAATTTGAATGAGATCGCCTCAGGTGCTTTTGATCTCAATTATTTGTCTTAACCATGTACCTTGTTTTTTTTTTCTGTCCATAAAATACTCAGGACATTAATTTCACACCCACGCCTTCAGAATGACGATACCTTTCCTCCTTGCGTCGGGCAGGCTCTCACTCTCGCCCTGGACGGAGACCTTGCAGCTCCTCATCCGGCAGAAGAAGGACCGCCTGGAGCCGGAGCATGCGCGCATCCTTCCCGCAAGGGAGGCGCTGGGGACCTGCACACCAGCTTTCACAGGGGGAGGAGGCAAGAGAGTAGGTAGAAAAGAGTATTTTCAAATACCTTTGAAATGTGTCTCCTAACATTTTTTCTGATCATCTATTACATTTTTTATAAGTGAAAAAAGAGAAATGGTTGTTTAAAGCAGTACCATTGTATAGCAAGCCAGGAAGTGAAACATACCAAAAAGTATGTTTGTCAAGCAACTGTATTTTTGACAACTTATAAACTTGCAACTTACCTTTATTTTCCCCCATGGGTGGAGCATAAAGGTAATTCAAATGAAATTAAATAAAAATTAAATAAAAAGAAAACCCCTCAATTGTAGTAGTAACCAATGGCATAAAGCACCATTATTTTTTATACTATAAATGATCACTTGCTACTAATCATTTTCAGAGAAGATAAATATTTTTAGAAAAAGTAACAAATACTTTTAACTCACAGGCAAAATTATAAAAGATGTTTCACCCATATAAGAGAATAATTATCTCTCAGCATATAGCTGAATAATAAAAATTTCAGCAATTTTTATCCTAAAAGAGACTTTCTTGTGAAGATTTTGTTAGCATATGAAAAATAGCAAATATGAAGCAATTGCATTTTCCTCAAAGCAGCTTCACATAAATATATTTTACATGCATGTGTGAATACAGGAATTCTCTGTATAGTTGTGTTGTTTTTTTAAACTCTGAGGCTGGTGATTGTAAAGTTTACTACATAATTCTCCTGTTGATAAAACCATAATTAGCTAACTTTTCAGAAACACTGTCTAGCTGGGCTTCTAAGTGAAAATTACATTTACATTAAATGGTAAGCATGCTGACATGGACACTTACTTTTGGCATCTATTAGCTTCTCTCGTGGTGAAATAGCAGAAGAAGACAGTTGTTCCTTTACTTTGGCAACATCTTTTGGATGTAAGAAGTCAAATAAGCTTTGTCCAGTCAAATTAGCCTATTTATAAAGCAGACGTTCATTTAAAGTCAGCACTTTTTCTACATTTCCTCATACAGACATAGGATGAGGACTTTCTTTTGTTAATCTCAGAAATACATCCACTACACTGTGTGACATTAACCCAGTGTTAAAAGCAGGGTCATACCTGTAGATAGAGAAATAGTGCACACACACGGAGCCATAACTGGGTACACACGGACCACACAGAAGCACCTAACCGCTCATATTCTATTTACTCTTGTTCCTCTTGTGAAACACTCCCCAATTCACATGCGTTACTTCTAAATCACATTATAATTTACTTTAAACTTTATCTTTGGTGAAAGTAAAGCAATTACAGTATCATATGGAAATCACAGAATAGCTGTGATTATATGCTGTAACAGAGGTTTATCAGACTGCTGTAAAAACATCACCATGCCAGTGAAAAACAGAATCCAACCTGGGGCGCCTCCCACTCCCCATTCTACTTCTCCCAACATGCAGAGCCTTCCGAGTTCTGTGCCTTGGATGCTCTGTGGTCTCATCACCTGGAATTCATTATTCCTTCCCTCCAAACTCAGCTCCCTGGCCAATCCAGCCAAATGCCCTAGATTCCCTCTCTCAACCCAAAATCTCTTCCTCACTTCTCTGCACATCTTAATGCTTAGCAGACACTCTATTTTGCATGAGAGGTCCTCCCTGAGCCACAGTGACCGCCCTCCACCTGACCTCCTTTATTACCCAAGTAGACATTCCCACAGAAGATAGAACAAATGGACCGGAAGGTACAAGTAGACTGGATTGCTTGGCAGTTAGATACCTCATTTAAAAAAGCTAGCAAACTGATGTATGCATCAGTCTATCATGTGATTGGGTAATGTAAGTCTACACCCAGAACTCGGCTTCACAGTAAATCAGCTTTCTGAGTCTGAAAAGCTGGACTAGACCCTGCTCTATGGGGATCCCTGAGTCCTTCTCAGTGGTGAGTGAGTCTCTGGGCCGGTCTGTGAAATGCAAAGTCAGTGCTCAGTGGGACTGGACTCCATGTCCCTATTCGGAACTTTAGTACAACCTTGAATTGTCGATTAACTTAGTGTGTGTGACATTCTCTATTTCCAACTAGAAGACAGAATAATCAGGGATTGCCGCTTTTGTGCCCCCAGCTATCACCAGCTGCATGATGCACTTGGTTCTCATTCCTTCTGAATGTGGGCTCATAACATCTTCCTTTGTTATTTAGCTCATTATCTATGAATGCCATGCATGCCTTATATCTCCTAATTTCCAAATTTGAGCGGGAGGACAGGCTGAAATTAATGAGAGTTATTTAAGATGAACTCTTCCACTATGTGATTTCTAAAAAAAGACCACAGGTGCCAGTTTACTGACTCTGTTGGATTATTTTCAGTGCTATAGCTTTGGGTAACTGGTTTAAATTAAACAATTTTCAGTGGTGAGGATGTAAAGCAATTACATAGCTATTTAAATAAAATATGCATTTTGGAGTTGGTTGCCAGAGTTCAGATCAACAGCTGTTATGCAATGCATATAACTTAGTAATAAATAATACTGCTCTCTCTCAAAGAAAACAGAGAGGGGCGGCTAGTAATTTTCAGATACTCTCACGTAGGACAGTGTGTTTAGTCTTTACAGCCTGAGAGACAGCTATAGTCATCATGGCCACTTTTTACCTAAGGGGAAGCTGAGGTTCAGGGAAGTGAAATAAGCTGATGAAGGTCAGGAGTTAACACCCTTGTCAGTAAAGCCAACACGGCACACTCGTGGCGCCATCCTCCTGTCTCTCCTGGACTTCTGACTCAGCAAACCTGCTGCCATAGCCCAAGGGAAGAAAAGGTTCAGAGAGAGAGCTCCAAAATCCGTTCAAAACACTAGACACAGTGCGGAAAAATATCCTATTTTAGATACCTGATCATAATTAAGTATTTTGGAGACTGACTTAGAAACGAAGAGAATTTTTCCCCTTTCACATCCAACCACAAACAGGAAGCCATCTGCAGCCTAGATATAAAGATATAAAAGTAAATTTTAAAAATATTATCTGCCTTTCTCACATACACATACACATTCAGTTTTGGGGGAATTTACTGTAGCAATAAAACTAGCAAAGTCGTCACATTATCCAGTAAAATTAATTTTAAGAAATTTTCTTAAAGATGTATATCAATAGATTTATAAAGGACATCAAATTGGACTCCTGTCTAAATTAATGTATTTTCACATGGGTAGTCCAGCCAGCGAATACTGAGTTGAAGTATTTCACAATATAAACACCCTACACCATTGCACACAGACTCGGCAAAAATGCGAAACCACATCGACAACAATTGCCTGCGGGGCCCTGAGAGGGAGAGATGTGCAGGCTGGGGGTGAGGAGGAAATGAAAATATGTGACTGCACACCTTTTGAATAATGATAAGCTACCGATCGAAACTAACTTAAAGAATTCTAACATGACGCACCAGCGATGCCCCTGAGATACACCCAGTGAGTCCCCTACGAGGCAGCCTGTGCGAGAACGGACGTGGGGACGCGGAGACGCGGAGGATGCATCTGGCACTCCCACATGACGTTTCTGGCGACACTCTATGCTTAATTCAACTGCCAGCCTTGCCCCATGTCTTAGAACATGCCTGGCTTCCCTCTCGACTTTCTTTAGCCCAAGCTAATACGGCATGGGTACTTGTATAAATTAAATTTCATATTAAAGGGAATTCAGTGTGCTATAGAGTCCTGTATGATTATAACAGAAAGCAAACTGAAGAAAATTTGCCTCCCATTCAAATAGAAGTAAAAGGGCAAATATGATTTCGGCAAATAGATTTCTTTACTTACCTTAAGGATTAAGTGTCTGAGCTCATTATCCTGAATAAATGAAGGTCGATAAATATCTCCTGTATAAGAATTTGTAATCCCTAAAAATAAACAAGTCAAAAGTTACTGAAAATATAGTAGGGTAGGAAATGTAGTAAGTGCTCGACAAACACTAGCAATGCTGCTGGTGAGGACGGCAATGGTATTAATTGTTCTCTTTCTTTGTAATAACTAGATTAAAAATTCCTGCTTTTAGATTGTAAATGCTTGGAACTACTTATTCCTTTATATACTCAAATGTGCAGATGGTAAGAACTGTATATATTCATTAAAAATCAATTAATACAATATATCATCTATAATAGTACATAACAGTATTCAAAAATCTGGTTATTTTTATATCTTAGTGTATTAAAACTGATCATATGAATTACCCTGAATGGATTTTGCATGTGACCCTTTAAAGATCACATGGACACTTCTGATAATATACAGAAATATATAGAACATAATTCATGTTACATCCTCAGCAAGAGCTTATTGTATTTTTTAAAAAACAAAAGTCACTATAGCAAGTGAAGAACTGAAAAGGAATTACCAGGTCAAAACAAGGATGCCTTGAGGGCATCCACCAACCTTGACACAGGAAAGCCCTTCATGGCCACAAGGGGGCGCAGGAGACAGTCCACCAAGCCTGGGAGCCCTGTCCTCAGATAACCCCTGGGCAAGCGTGATTCAGAGGTCAATTTTCCCTCCTTCGTGCTTCCCAACCTCCCTAACTCCAGTCCCCTCCTGAGGAACGCAAGGAAAGTTGCTTTTGCAGGAAAAATTTTAACCACAAATTGATTCTTGGATGGATTTATAGCCCAAATTCACCAATTACCTAAGCATTGGTGGAAAACACCAAGCCAGAAAATCAAAAACACCTCATGATGGGATTTGGTCAAGTTTTCTCAGACCGGTAGCACCCCTAAGAGTCTGGCATACGCAAAAGAAAAATCTTCCCCGTCAGAATCTATTTTCTAGGTAGGCTTCAAAGAATCCCCTAAATGATTTCTTGTTGTTGTCACCACTACACAGCAGCCCGGTAGCAGGGAGTTGAACGGGCTGAAAGACTCGCTCGGAGTGCCGCGCCAGGGTACAGCAATAAATCAGCCAGAGAGAGGCACCAGCATTTCCAGGTCTGGCCTGAAGCAAGGTTGGCAGGAGTACGCCAGGGAAGCCCCAGTAGTGTAAACCAGTCAGAACGGGCGGGCAAGCCCTGACGAGGTGAGCGAGCGAGGACGTGCGGAGAAGGAAAAGGGGCTGTAGGAGCACAGCTGGAGCCGGGGTGAGAAGAGTTAATACAATGCGTGCTGTGATTTGCTGGGCACCTGCCAAAACAAAGATGAGCGGGTACCAAACTTGACTCTCAGATTTCTGATGGCAAAAAAAACACACACATACACACACAAGGAAACATAATCACTTTCGTGACAATATTCAATATTCATCAGGTTAAAAAAAGTCAATATGATAATCATGATAATGATAATGATCAAAATGACAATAATTCCTTCTCCTCCTCTTACCATCACCTCCATTACTAATAAACAGTGTACTCATATTTTACATGCATTACTCTTTACTCTTAGCAATAACCCTATAAGGCAATTGCACTATCCCTACTTTACAGATATGGAAGTTGAGGATTAGAATAGTAAATACTGATAAGTCACATAGCTATTAAGTCAGGGAGCCAGAGTCTGAACCCAGGAGGTTTGGCCCAGGACTCACAGGCTGGCACTACTGTCCCCAGTACTGAGACCACACACAGAATGTCCACAGATTCTCAGAAGCACACACTGCACAGCTGGGCTAGTCCAGGGGTGGTCTGCAGACCACTGACATCAGTCAACCATGATGGCATAAGTACAGAAATGAAGAATAAGTATTTAGACACTTTCACAGAAATGCAACTCTGCAACATCTCAGCCTATGGACATTTTTTCCAGTAACCAACTATTATATTTTACAAAGGGTGGGGGTGGGAAACATTTGCTCTTCACCCAGATAGTTTGAGAAGCACTGCTGTGAAGTGTAGTAAAAAAGTCATCTCCCCATCCTTCTCTCTTTAAAGTAATTATGTATAGACCAAAATCACATGATCTGCCTGCAGCCTTCTGATGATCCGGTGTCACTGATGGGGAGCAAGTAGGGGGTACACTCTGACAGGCGCCCTGCAATGCAGACAGCGCTCCAGGTCATCTCACTTGTGGTGGCACTCATCACGCCAGGGTCTGGTCAGGACCGGTGATGAGTAACTGACAGCCTCGCTTTGACTCAGAAGGGCCAGTGGTGAAATCTACGCTCTGTTCCAAGAAATCCTCTCTGGATATAAACAGGATGTTGACTCATACCTCCACTGTAACATTTGTCCCACTAGGTTTTGCTGATATCTTCATGGGTCCATCTCCCTCAAGTGGCCGTGAACCCCTAGAGCACAGAAATCTTGCCCATTCAATTTTATATGGCCGGCACAGAACAGGGGCCTCGTGCACATTTGTTGAATTAGTTGATTGGTTCATGGCTTCTCCCTTAGGCCCTCCTCCCTCGGGACACTACAAATGTGAAAAGTATTGGGTAATTTTAGGTTTGCAATCAAATGACCTCAGCTGAGCCTGCTAATGTTCATTGCTAAAAGATTTTAAGTGAAATACTGCATGCAACTTATGCAAGACCTAGCAGTAGGTAAAAGAGAATCTTATTTTTTTATCTCATTTCACAATAGACATATGAAAATAAGACCGCCAATCACGCTCCCAACAGGAAGCCTGCCAGGCAGTATCCCAACACTGGAGCTGCTCCCCGTGGTGCTGAGGGACCAAGGGCTGCCCTTTCTATCCCCACCGCCTCCTCCCCACATCTGCACAGAGTCAGCGGGTTGGAGTGCACGCACCATTTCTCTACCATATGTGGAGATCTAAGAAAGATGATTTAAAGTGTCTATTTTTACAACTTGCACAAGATGCTGTTAAACAGGCCTTTAATAGCTGTCTGTAGCTTTACTTCCTAATTTGTAGATGCTTCCCCTGTCCCCTACCTCTTTCAAACTGAACAGATTTGCCAGGATTTTTTGTTCATTATGAAATGAGATGTTCTCTGTCTGGGCTCCAATTTGCACTGGACGTCCAGGTTAACCCTGCTCTCCCCTAACCCACTTGCACTCGACGTGGCCAAGTCCCTGCATTCTGACCATAGAACTTCCTTTTCCCTCAAGTAGATTTCCCTTTTCCTGGCATGCAGTGTGGGGCAGAGATCTAAATAAGACCCTTGGTCATCCTTTGCTTATTCCTTTTTAATTGTTTTTTTTTTTAACTCAAAAAAGCCAAATTTCACTATAATCTTTTAGATCTTTACAAATCTGAACTTTCAGAGTCTCCTCTGTGGCCTGCAGCTCACTCCTCCGCCAGTTCTTTTCCATATCAATTTATGTTAGCATTCCCACATCTAAAACTCAACTCTATCTCCATCATTTTACCGCCCCCCCGCCAAGTTGGACTGGGGTTACTCCCAAACCAGATGTGACTTCGACTACACACACACAGACTTCAATTTAAATTTCAAGCTCAAGCTGGGGGACTGTTCAGGTCAGAAATGACCACGCATACCCAAGGAGCAATAGCTAAGGACCCCCTTCATCCAATGTCTAATAAATGTGAGAATCCCTTGGAATAGTAAGGTGTGCTGCATTTGAAGGTCCTACTACTTATAAATCTGAATGAAGTTTTAAGGGAAATTGGCTGAATTTAAGGAGATTTTCTTTTCTAAGAATGGAAATCTGCCAATAACTGAAAACTATAATTAATATTACATTTCAGAACTTCTAAAACACTGAGAAGTACATGCCTGCCATATACATATATGTAATTATATTATAAACATGATGTACATTATATGTATATGGCAGGCATAATTACCTTCACATTATACATGGGAAAACAAGAAATGTGAAGGCTTTTCAAATTCATAACAGTACGCTTAAGATAAACCTTTTGGTAGAACCAAGTTTTCTTTTTATTTTTAATGATATATTTTATTGCTTATGCTATTACAGTTGTCCCATTTCCCCCCCTTTTATTTACTTCTGCCCTGTATAGCCCCTCCCACCCATATCTCCCCTCCACCCTCCGTCCCCACTTTAGTTCATGTCCATGGGTCATACATATAAGTTCTTTGGCTTCTACATTTCCTATACTATCCTTAACCTCCCCCTGTCTATTTTCTACCTACCAATTATGCTTCTTATTCTCTGTACCTTTTCCCCCTCTCTCCCCTTCCCACTCCCCTGTTGCTAACCCTCCATGTGATCTCCATTTCTGTGGTTCTGCTCCTGTTCTAGTTGTCTGCTTAGTTTGTTTTTGTTTTAGGTGTGGTTGTTAATAGCTGTGAGTTTGTTGTCATTTTACTGTTCATATATTTTTTTCTTAGATAAATCCCTTTAACATTTCATATAATAAGGGCTTGGTGATGATGAACTCCTTTAACTTGACCTTATCTGAGAAGCACTTTATCTGCCCTTTTGTTCTAAATGAAAGCTTTGCTGGATAGAACAATCTGGGATGTAGGTTCTTGCCTTTCATGACTTGGAATACTTCTTTCCCGCCCCTTCTTGCCTGTAAAGTCTCTTTTGAGAAATCAGCTGACAGTCTATGGGAACTCCTTTGTAGGTAACTGCCTCCTTCTCTCTTGCTGCTTTCAAGATTCTCTCCTTACCTTTAATCTTGGCTAATATAATTATGATGTGCCTTGGTGTATTCCTCCTTGGGTCCAACTTCTTTGAGACTCTCTGAGCTTCCTGGACTTCCTGGAAGTCCCTTTCCTTTACCAGATTGGGAAAGTTCTCCTTCATTATTTGTTCAAATAAGTTTTTGATTTCTTGCTCTTCTTCTTCTCCTTACGGTATCCCTATGATTCAGGTGTTGGAACGTTTAAAGATGCCCTGGAGGTTCCTAAGCCTCTCCTCAATTTTTTAAATTCTTCTTTCTTCATTCTTTTCTGGTTGCATGTTCCTTTCTTCCTTCTGGTCCACACATTGATCTGAGTTCCAGTTTCCTTCCCATCACTATTGGATCCCTGTGCATTTTCCTTCATTTCGCTTAACGTAGCCTTCATCTTTTCATCTAATTTGTGACCACATTGAACCAATTCTGTGAGCATCCTGATCACCAGTGCTTTGAACTGTGCATCTGATAAGTTGGCTATCTCTTCATCACTTAGTTGTACTTGTTCTGGAGCTTTGATCTGTTCTTCCATTTGGGCCATTTTTTTTTGTCTTGGCACACCTGAGCCACGAAAGGTTAAGTGCATAAGGCAGGTTCTGCTGAAAGGACTGATGCGCCCGAACTGACTTGGAACGTGCAGGTAAAAATGCTGGAGTAACTTGTCCCAGTGTAAAAAGTCTACCCGCATTCACACAACTGTGGTTCCTTAGAAGAAAGTACATTCTCAGTGGAAGGGATGGACCACAGCTCTTTTTTTTCCAAGTTTTCCCCAGAGCCAAGTTTTCTTACATCCACACTAGTATTTTCTCCACATACAGAACATGGACAAGAATCAAATAAATGCCTTGGAAGCTAAAAGACAACTTTGTACAGCGTCTTCAATAGCCAATAACAAACCAACCTCAATTACAGGGAAGACCTCCCAAAGCCAAGCATGGAGGCCATTTTCAAACTCACGTTTTTCTTTTTTAGAAGTGATGATTTTTTATTGTATTTTTTCCCATTACCGTTTAGTTAAACTCACCTTTTAAAGCCCTTAAGTGTTGAACGGCCATCCTTAAAACTGTGAGTTTGTCCAGTTTTTGTGCCAGGCGCTTGCACTGTGGAACCATTGCAGACAGCTCCTCAATCAGGTTATTCATTCTATCTCTCCTCCGCTTCTCAGTCTGGCTGTGAGCTTCTCTACGAAGGAAAAAGAACCACCTTCACGTTTCCCGTTCAGCAGATCCACATGGCCCCAGAGGCTCCAGCCAGAGCACGTAGGGAAGCCAGCAAGCACGCCTGCTTGTCCCACCTTGGCCTGCAGTTGCTACTCAGGGAGAGGAGGGAGTTGTTGCAAACAGGAAGAGCACTCACAAGGTTCACAGTGTTTTCACCCCACTCATGTCCTTGTCCTTGCTCCTTCCTTGCCCTACCCTATTTCCTGAAACCTTCAAGAACTAAGACATCTGTCAGAGAGCCACAGAAGGTGGTATTTTTACATCCCTCCCGTCTTAGAGAAAGAGATGGGTGGCCTTCTATTCAAAACTCACTCCTCTGTGGCATTTGCTTAAGCAATTATCCGCATCTTAACCTCCTCCTCTCTCATAGCTCCTTCTCCTGGGCCTATACATGTGCTCAAGTCTCTTTCCTCTGAAAAAAAAAAAATCCTTCCCCTTGTTGTAGGGTTTTTTCCTTGCTACTGTCTTCCTGTCAGTCAGCTTCCTAAAGGTACAGTCTCCACTCCATCTTTCATTTCCCAGGCACTTCTCCATCTATGAAAAGTGAACCTTTCACAATCCCCTCTCCACTAAAACTATTCTAGGAAGGCTGATCCTTATCTTATACAATTCCTCAAATTTGACGCTATTTACATTCCTCATTCTTCACCTGGCTTCAGTGACCTCTCCTGCTTTTTCATCCTCCCTCCTCAGCTCAGTCCCCTCAGTCCCTTTACTTGGCTCTTCTGTCCTTAATCACTGGTGTCTCTCATGATTTCCTTTTTGGCACAGTTCTTTCCTCACCCTATGTCTTCACCCTAAGAGAGCTCATTTCCTCAGAAGGCCTCACAACTACTCATAAACTGCTTACTGTGAAATCCCTATACTGAACTCAGCTCCTGACTTTTGAAACTAGAATACGTACCTTACTAATTCCCAAATATGCTTAAACCCTAAGAAATCCCAGACTGAATGCATTCTCTGCATTTTGCCCTATTTTAATTCTCCTTCTTCCACTAGCCCTGATTCACTCTTCTTTCCATACGATTTATCTCAGTTGGTACACTAGACTCATTCTAGACTTTTCCTCTTCATCCTGAAACTGCCACCAATTCTGGTTTTTAAAATTTTTCTTAAATATACTTTCTGCCCACTGTCTCCGTCACTTACAATAGGTCATTGCATTAACCCCAAAGCCTTTTAAATTCATGTTCCTTCTTCTAGTGTCCTCCCCTCCTAGTCTTTCCTAACTACCACTTCCAGAATTATTTCTCTAAACAAATCAAATCATCTAATCTCATTGCATAAAACTGTCAAAATGCATTTCCATTGCCCAAGAGGAATGGCCAAACTCCCTAATGACACCCCAAATTTATCCATCTGCTGGCTCATCCCCTCATCTCCAGGTCCACCTCTCCATGTCTCCTCCCTACAGCTCCAAAAGTCATGCAGCAGTGCCAAATGGCTTGCTGGTCCTCAAACATGCCAGGTCACTGCATACCTATTCTATGTCTTGCTCTTTTCCAGGCCTAGGACAAGGGAAAATCCTGCTCCTTCTTCAAACTCCAGCTCGGATATTCTTCTGGGAAGCTTCCTTTGACTGCTGCATGATTAATCACTTCCCTCGCCCAGCCACCTCAGCACCTTTTAGGCCACTGCTGTATATTTCCTTAAAGCTAAGCCACCATCAGTTGTAAGATGCACTATTATTTCATGCATTACAAGGAGTGAAAAATGCTGCCAATTACCAGGAAAATGCCACGGATGGCGGAGACATTTTCATGGGTGATAAAATGTAGGAGGAAATGCATACCTTAGATTTCAAGAATTAGCTGTGTTACTCTTCATACTCAACTGTAAACACTTGTCTCTTACAACACATAGGCCATGACAGCTCCCTAACTTCTATATAAGAAGAATTCAGGGCTGACAATCTGATGGGGAAGAAGGTAAGGAAGAGAACTACCTTGATCTCTTTTTATAGTAGCTTTTTCGTTTTCTTTCACGGAATATATTTTTCTACACAGAAGCGGGGAGAGGCACTGATGGGGGCAGGTGGAGCTAAACACCCACCATCCCAGCCACTCACTCTTGGGCAACATGACTCCTGGAACAAAATACATAGTACTTTGGGGTAAACTGGATGGAATTCACATTACATGTGTGTTTCCATACAATGTAGTTATCTACTCATAGTTTGGCCTATTCATGACAATTTTTTTTTAGATTATAACATTCTTCTAATCAGAGAGTCTTAAGTATCCCCTGGCTAGAATGATCACCTCTACCAGTATCACCCATTTGAACAGACAGACACCTGATCCCAGGAACTCGGGCAGAAGGATGGGCATGCTCTCAGAGCCTGGGTGTGGAGGGAGTTGAGAACAAGGTGAGAGTGAGGCCGCTGAGCAGACCAATCAATGACAGAGGCTGGAAGCCGGGAGACTCAGAGGAAGGTGGCATAAGCAGTTTTTAAATAAGGAACTTTACTTGGAGGTGCAACTGAAAAAAGATTTCCAGAGGATGTTATTAAAGAAAGGCATACTTATCCAGAAGCTAGTTTTCTGCCTAGTTATCAGGGTTCTGCCTCCTAATTCTGTGCAATGTTACTGCCACTTTGAATCACATCAGTGTCTGGTAGAGTTACATCAATAAAATAGAGCTGGCCATGTTACCATGGAATTAAATATAATGAATGATTTTAAAAGTAACCTTTTTCTTTTTTCCCCCAGAGTTAATGATTTAATGGAGTTAAAGGAACAATTCACTTACTGGGAAGGATCTGAATCACTTCCTTTTCGTTTTCTTGGGAACTCTGTCACCTGTGGGCTGAAGGAGCCAGTAGCTGTGGGTTTTGTCCATGGGCTCATGTGATTGGTAACCATGGGAACAATGAACGGGTTGTCCTCTGGCAACACTTTACCTATGAGAGAACAAAGATAAAGCACAATAAGATAGCTAATGTTAAACGTTAACTGTTACTTTATACAATCCATATCACACATCTTAAATGGCTTTCTTATCTTAAAAATATCAACTAAATAACAACATAGAAAGAATAATTATGTACATTCAAGTATTAGAAATGTATTTGTTAGTATTTTTAAGTTTATTTTGCCAACCTAAATGTTAAAAAAAATGAACATTACAGAAAATATGGGAAGCACAAAAAAGGTAGAAAGGAAGGGGGAATACTAAATTTCACAAACCAATGTTACTATTTAGAGATATTTCCTTTTAGAATCTTCCTATAGTTGTCAACATTGTGTATATTCTGCCTTATTTATGCATCACTGTGATAACTCTACAGTGTTATTACAAATTCTTTATAAATTATTCTAATGGCTGCAAAATATGCCATCACATGGATGTATCATAGCTTCTCATCACTCATCTGTTGTTAGAATGTGAAGCTTTTTATCTACTGGTTATTTCTTTTGAATAGCATCCCAGAACTGACTAAGGTCAAGGGACAAGAATATTTCAAACCTTGAATTAATAAAAATGACAGTAAAATCCTTTTTGTCTAAAGTGTGGTTTATTACATGTTTCATGGAATATAAAAATCAGAATCACTAAATTAAAAACCTCTATCCAAATGTGAGCCTCCTTCTCCTATAAAAATGCATGTAACAAGTTTAAACTCATTTGTACCTTGTAACATAGATTGAAAACATATAAGCAACATTTACAAGGCTAGTGCAATAAATCTACAATAGGGGGAGAGGTTTAACATATCTCTATCAGTAACCGATGGACTGAGTATTCAGAGATAATGACACAGAAGATCTAATCCACACAATGAACAAGCCTGATCTAATAGAGACCACTACGCCTAGCAACTTCAAAACACAGGGTTGTTTCAGAGCACCCACGAGGCATTTATAAAGATTGACAACAGTCTACAGCCAAGCTGCCTGGTATGTGCCTGATCTCGTCTGCTCTCCGAAGATAAAAATTGACAACATACTGAGCCACAAACCGAGTAAATCTCAACAATTTCAAAAGATTGATACCAGACGTAAAACATTTTCTGACTACAGTGTAATTATTAGATACCAGTTATAAAATGATAACCAGAAACAAAAACCTGTACCTTAGGAAATCAAGAAATACACAAATAACTCATGGAACAAGAAAGAATTCAATGTAAAATTATAAAATATTTGGAATAAATAATAAAAATATCATACATGAAAATGTGTAGAGTCAGTGAAAGTTAGAGAAAAATTACTTAGAGGAAAATTTTAACCCTAAATGTTTTTTTAAAGAAGGTTGAAATATAATGAGCTAATAATTTAAGAAATTAGAAGTAGATGAGTAAAATAAACCCAAAGAATTAGAAGGAAATCATTAAAATAATACTAAAAATAAAAGGAATACAAACAACTATAGATCAAAAACACTTAACATGTTCTTCCAAAGATAGGAAAATCTAATAACCCTATGGCAAGATTTTTCAAGGTAAAAAGCGGGCATAAATCAATAAAGACAGGACTAATTATGGAGTCGTAATTTTAGACACTCGAGAGATTCAAAAGATAATAAAATCTCATAAGCAACATCATTCTAAAAAGACTGGAAAGTAATGAAAAAATTCCCAGAAAATATTAAACAACAAAGCAGAAACAAAAAGAAATTAAACCCCAAATATTCCTATATTCTTTCTTACACAAACTATTTCAATGTGTAGAAAAAGTAGGGAATACCTTGGTCCCAACTCATTTTATAAGGCTTATACAATTTTGATATTACAACCTGACAATGGAAATAAAGAAAAACTATAGCCCTACCTCATTCATAAGCAAAGACACAAAAAACTTAACAAAATACCACCAAACAAAATTCATGAATGTATAAAAAGAATAAACCCATCATGACCAAGGTAATTTTATTCTAGAAGTGCAAGTGTGGTTTAATATTAGTAAACCAATGAATATAATTTATCACAATAACAAATTGATGGAAAAATATGATTATATCAACACAAAAATATTAATGAAGAAATACTGAAAACACTCTCTTTGAAATCAGAAACAAGAACATCTTTCGACACTTTTTTAGAAGACCTACCAGTGGAGTTAGGGATCGGGGAAGAATACGTGGTATAAGAACTAGAAAGAAAGAAAATATTTTATTTTTCTATGATTGTGAAATGATGATCGAGTATATAGGAAACCCAAATTACCAATAGATAAATTATTAAAATCAGAGAGTAGAGCAATTTGGCTGTATGTAAAATCAATACATATAAATCAATTGCCTTTCTATTTGCCAGTCACAAACAGTAAAAAATGATATTTAAAAAGATATAATTTATAAAAACCTCAAGAAACACAGAGTACCTAAAGAACAAATCTAATAAAATGTATAAGATCTATACGATCTTGATTGAGAAAGTTATGAAAATTATTTATTTTATTTATTTTTAGAGAGGGGGGAGGAAGGAAAGGAAGGAAGGGAGAGAGGGAAGGAGGGAGGGAGGAAGGAAGGGAGAGGAACTCAGATGTGCCAGGGAAACACTGATCGGCTGTCTCTTCCATGCCCCTAATGGGGGACCTGGCCCGAAACCCTGGCGTATACCCTGACCAGGAATTGAACCAGCCACCTTTTGGGTTGTGGGACAACACCCCACCCCACTGAGCCATTCCAGTCAGGGCAAAAGTTATAAAAATTTATTTAAGACATTTAAAAAGATCCAAATAAATGGAAAGATATGCCATGGTTGTGGATTGGAGGCCTCTATATCCTAAGGATATTGATTCCCCTAAAATAGATGTGCAATTCCTGTCAACATGAACATTTCTTTTCTGGCAGAACTTCACAAGCTGAATAAAAAATGTTCATGGAAGTACAATAGGTCATGAATAGCCAAGGAAAACATTGGAGGACTTGCCTCATCAGATATCAGGGTACTATAACGCTACAGTAATTAATACAGTATTGGCCATACCTGGTGGGGATAAAGGGAAAAGAAATTAGAGCCCAGACATGTATATATGGACTCTTCCTAAATGCAAAAGGTGATATTTCAGATCAATGTGGAGAAGCCAGCTTTTTAATAAATGGTCTTGGGCCAACTGGTTTTCTCTATGGAGAAGAATAAAAACAATTCCCCTACCTTATACTTAGTATCAAAAACAACTCCTGTTGGATCGAAGACCTCAATGTAAAGGGTGAAAATACAACACAGAAGATACTAAAGGACAGAGAATATGTTTGTTATTGGTGTACAGAGAACTTTCCAAAACATAAAAACTTAAAGCAGTAAAGGAAAATACTGATCAATTTGACCCCCTTAAAATTAAGTTAATGTTGATCAAAGGGTACCATAAAAAGAAGGAAACTATAAGCCATGTATTTGTTAAAAACATGTAAACAACGAAGGGCTAATATCTGGATCACATAAAGAATGCCTTTGCACTAATGAGACCAACAACCCAAAAGAACACTGAATAAGAGATTTTAATGGGCACTTCTCAAAAGAAATTCCAACTATCAGCACACAAATGAAAATAGTCAAACCTCAGTTCTCAAAAGTCTTGGTTCTAGAACAACTCAGTTCTCGACCAAGTTGTGCACAGGAAAAATGTTCTCTTAGGCAACAAACAAAGGAGATTTGGTTTCGAACAAATCGCTTCTCAAACAGTTTTTCAGAATGAATTAAGTTCGAGAACTGAGGTTCCACTGTATACCCAATCTCATTACTAATTCAGGAAAATCCAAACCACAGTAACACTATCATATACCTATCCGATGGCCACACCTGTAGAGTGATGATACCCAACTGGAGGATGGGGAGGGATAGGAACACACATGCTTTGCTGGTGGGAATGTAAATTGCTACAAGCACTTTGGAAACCATTTTTACTTTACCTAAGAAAGCTAAACATGTACCAACATTTGTCAGCATTCCATTCCTAGGTACATGGAGAAACTCTTAATGTATAGGAGACACGCACAAGAAATGCATTAATAACACTGCTAATAATTGAACAACAAAAATTGAAACCTGAGAAACCTGGAAATTTCTATCAACAGATGGATAAATTGTTTATTCACTGAACAGAATACTACCAGCAATAAAAGTGAATGAAGTACTAACATACTCACTCACATGGATGAATCTCAACATAATGCTGGACAATAAAAGTGACAGCCAAAGGCAAAGTCTGTTTTTCACAAAATGTTTAAGTTAAATTGGTAAAACACATCAATATGTTTTTAGCAATACCTACAGAAATTGCCACACTATACAGAAAAGCAAGGGAACAGTGAACACAAAAGTCAGAATTCTTTTTGGGAGGAGAATGGAGATGTGATCAGTGAGGAACACACAGAGAATTATAAGGAATTCATGTTCTATTTCTTAGCCTAGCTGTGAGTTCACAGATAATTGTTTTGTTTTTATTCCTTAAACTACACACAAATTTTTTATAATCCTCTGTAAGAATAATAGGTCTCACAATAATAACAATTTTGCCAATGATTGTTGGTCACTTGGGAATTAAGTTTCTATTTATGGTATTCTAAAACTTCTAAATAGGACCTATTTATAATTGCCAAATACCATATGAGATTAATTATAGCAGAAGCTCATGGACTTCATTCTATCTAATAGACTTTGAATGGTAGAACTCCGTCTGTCTCCACACACACACACAAAAGGGAATTTCTTATTGACAGCGAATCAACAGGAAGAATGCGCTAACGCTGAGCCACAGCACACCCTGGATAAGTAATACCATACCCCTCCCACGCCTCCAGCACACATTCGTGCAAGGATGCTGTCCTCTACAGAGGCTCAACACAAAAATGAAGACTTTTTTTGCCTCTTATATAGGAGGCATGATCTCCACATGTTTAATGCTACTTCCTTATTAACCTTTAAAATAAGAAATGGACTATCTTTAGGCAGGGAGA